CGAGTGTCTCGGTCGCTCACTATGTCTTCCGGAACACCTTGGTTGGTAATCCAACCGGTGTGCAAGAGTCGTGCGAGCTCAGGCGCTGCAGCATGATACTTGCAAGGAAGAAAGCGAGCATACTTACTCAAACGGTCAACGACCGTGAGAATACCGTAATGGCCGTGGCGATCGCGGGGAAACGGGCCTGTCACGTCCATAGCAATGGAGAGGCGTGGTGCCCGAGGGATTGGCAACGGTTTCAGTTCGCCGAAGGGGACTCGAGATCGACCCTTGTTACGGTGGCAAACTGCACATGACTCAATGTACCTCGTGACGTCGTGAAGGACGTCGGGCCAGTGAAAACGCCGGCGGAGGCGTGCGAGTGTGCAGTTCACGCCCAGGTGTGCCGAAAGTCGTGCATCGTGGAATTCGCCGAGAAGACGAGTCCGTAAGATTCGATCTTGGGGGACCACTAACAAGTCCTTTCCTCTCGTGTGAAGGAGAAGGAACCCGTCGGAGATCCGATAATGGCTAGCCGGCGGTTGATCCGACGAAAGCTCTGCGTAAAGCGTAGAGTAAGTCGGATCGGACTTGTAGCCTTTGACGAAATGCTGCTGCAGATCGTCATCGAGGTCGAATGCCGTGGTCACAATGGCACAAAAGTCGGGTCGTCGTGAGAGGGCGTCCGCAGCTCGATTGGCGGGACCGGGAATGTGACACGGGTCAAAATCGAACTGGTCGATGTAATACATCCATCGACCGATCGTACTAGTGACCGTGTGCTGCGTTTTGTAAAATGTCAACGGATTGTTATCCGTATTCCATTTAAAACGCCGACAGTCGAGAAGAAAGTGGCGCCACCGTTTGAGGACGGTGACAAACGCGAGTAGCTCTTTCTTCCTAGCGTCATCAAGAGTGTTGACGAGAGGCACCTTCTGGGAGAAGTACTCAACCGGATGCCAACCGTCCTCGTGACACTGTTCCAACACCGCACCAATACCGTATCCCGAAGCGTCCGTAGTCACTTGGGTGGGTAGGGTGGGGTCGTATATACGGAGGGCAGGTGCGGCTTGCATCGCTGCCTTCAACGTAGTGAACGCGCCACGGGCTGCGTCGTTGAACTCGAAGGGCACCTTCGGGGACTGAAGTCTCGACAAAGGAGCGGCCACTTTCGAGTATGACTCGACGAATCGCTGATAATATCCAGCCAAACCCATGAAAGAGCGTACATCCGTAGTGCTACGGGGTTCCGGCCAATCCACGATGGCTTGGATCTTGTCCGCTAAGGGACGAATGCCTTTCGGCGTGACAAAATGGCCCAAGTACTCAAGCTCTTGCCTGGCGAATTCGCACTTGTCAAGATTCGCTTTGTACTTGGCTAGTCGCAACCGATTCAAAACAACGCGAAGGTGTACGATGTGCTCGTCCAACGTCCTACTATAAACCAAGATATCATCAAGGTAGATGAGGACGCTGCGATCGAGCAAGTCGCGAAACTCAGTCGTCATCGCTGCTTAAAACGTTGCGGGGGCATTGGTGAGGCCAAATGGCATGACAACCCACTCAAAATGCCCATACCGCGCCTTGAACGCGGTCTTGTACCGGTCTTGAGGCTGGATTTCAATCTGGTGGTTACCTGACTTCAAATCCAACTTTGAGAAGTACGTCGCGCCGCCTAACCGCTCAAGGAGATCATCAATCCGAGGGAGAGGGCCGGCGTTCTTTACGGTTTGTGCGTTAAGTTTTCGATAGTCGATGCATAACCGTAGATCTTTGTTCTTCTTCCGGACGAAGAGAACAGGTGCACCGTATGGCGAGCAACTAGGGCGAATCCAACCCTTGTTGAGAAGATCATCGAGTTGTGCGCGAAGCACCTCGAGTTCCTCTTCGCTCATGCGGTAGATACATCCACGCGGAGGGACGGCGCCAGCCTCGAGAGTGATCCCGTGACGCATGGGCCGATCCGGAACCGTTCCGGTGGGAGCCTCGAAGACGTCTCTATACTCGTCCAAGAGGTGAGAAATGTGTGGGTCCGGCGGTGACGCAGCTGGTCCGTCCGGCGAGGGAAGAGCATGCAAGAATACAAGGCCCATCTCCTCGACGTCATTCCGAGCAATGGCGTCGCGAATCCGCGCAACGGAAACCACGTGACAAGCAATCGAAGTGTGAGGGGTCGCGACCGTACATGGGACTAACACTCCGTTCCGATGAAGGGCGACGGTGTTTGTTGGCTTGTTCTATCATCCTGTGCTGGGCCTTCCTGAGGTTCTCAACTACTGTAGCAATTTCCTTTTCGTGCTGTATCGCAAATTCCCTGGTACCGGGCGGTAGCCTTTGAATCTGATCCCGGTTAAGTCCTTCAAACGGTCTGCGTGGTTTAAAAGACTTATGTAGTGCGTTGGGAGTGCGAAAAATGCACGCTATTGTTGTAAGCACTGGCTACCTTTGGGAGCATCTCATCCCAGTTAAGTTGGTTGGGCCTAATGTACATTCTCAGATCTTGCTGCAGGACTCTGTTCATCTGCTCAGTCTGACTGTTGGTCTCTGGATGGCGGCCAGATGACATTAACAACTTAGATCCGTAAACTTTCATTAATTCTTGCCAGTTCTGACTAGTGAACCGGGTGTCCCTGTCACTAACTATAGACAACGGTGGCCCATGTTCACTGACCCAATGGTCAAAAAACTTCTGTATTACTAATTTTGTGCGTGCCTCAGTGGGCAAAGGGACAAAAATTGCATACTTGCTAAACCTATCTACTACGACCATGACTTGCCTCTTGCCATGTCTACTCTTGACACCAGCATCCATGAAATCTATAGACATTGAATCTCTGGGTCCTTCGAGGATAGGCAAGGGTCTGAGAAGGCCAAGAGGGGCTTGCGTAGTAGTCTTATTCCTTTGACAGACTTCTCAACTGTGTACATATTCTATGCAGTCGGCCTTCATACCAGGCTAGGTATACGCGCGCATGAGGTTGGCTAATGCCTTCTGCCAACCGAAATGTCCCTCTTTATCATGGCATTCCCCTAAGATCAAACTTCGGATCTCTTCGCTATTGGGAACGCATAGGCGGTCAACAACATTAGTCTTCTCAAACAACAAGTCGTCTGTAGTGCGGTAATCTGGTTTTGATTTTGGTGCCTCCTTAACTCTCTTAAGGAGGTCGCTATAGATTGGGTCCTGCGCATTCGCTTCTTTGACTCTCTGTTGCAGGTCTTTCCCTATATCCAGATAGTGCACTATCGCTCCAAAGTAATCTGATCTCTTACTCCGGGCGTCCGCAACTACATTGTATTTTCCCTTGACGGGCTTGAGCTCAAAGTCATACTGATCTATCTCTTCGGGCCCACCTGTCCTCTTGGCCTTTGTTTTCAGCCACCTTCGCGTCTCGTGGTATGAATACACTTGAAGTGCCTCCCAAGCAAGAAGTGCCTCCAATGTTCTAATGCTTGCCTGAGAGCGTAGAGTTCCCTTTGGTAGGTGGATGTCGCTACCTTTTCTGAAGGCATTCTAGCAGACATGAACTCTACGGGTCTGTATCCATTACCATCGTCTTGTTGTAGAACATCACCTATGCCATATTGACTTGCATCAGTGGTGACGACGAATGGCAATGATGGATCGGCTACCTTAAGGACAGGATACTCTATTAACGCCCGCTTTAACTTCTTTAGGGCCGACGTACAGTCTTTATCCCATTTCCGGATTGCCTCTTTCTTCAGCAACCTGCGGAGGGAAGCAGCGATGGTGGAGAAGTTCCTGACGAACTTTCTATAGTAATTGGCCAATCCTAAGAATGACCGCAACTCTGTCAGTGTGCAGGGAGTCGGCCAATCTCTAATCGCAACTATCTTACTATCCTCAAGCTTTATGCCATCTCCATCTAGAACATGGCCCATGTATAAAACATGTGTCTTGGCCCACTCACACTTCTTCGCATTGATCTTGAAGTTAGCTTCTCTCAGCTTCCACAAGACCTGCCTCATGGCCCTCATGCTCTTGGAGGATCTTACTAAATGCTAAAATATCATGTAGAAATACAACTACAAATCTATCTAACAATGGTCTGAACAAGTCATTCATACAGCGCTGAAACATAGGTGGCGCGTTGGTTAATCCAAAGGGCATCACTATAAACTCGTAGTGGTTGTATCTGGTCCTGAACGCCGTCTTGTGCTGATCATCAAGATGGACTTTTATCTGATGGTAGCCTGACTTCAAATCTATCTTAGAGAAGTATATGCAGCCTTGCACTCGATCCAACAAATCATCTATTCGTGGCAGTGGTTCTGCGTTCTTCACTGTGATGGTGTTGAGACCCCTATAGTCTATACACATTCTTAGCTCTCCCTCCTTTTTGGGGACAAACATAACAGGTGCTCCAAACGGGGACGAACTGGGCCTAATCCAACCCTTCTCGAGGAGCTCGTCTAACTGCTTCCACAACTCCTCTAACTCCCTTGGGGACATTCTATACACCGCTCCGTTGGGAGTTCTACTGCCAGGCTCTATCTCAATTCGATGTTGGATCGGTCGAGCTACTACCCCTGTAGGCGACTCAGATAAATCTGCATATTCCTCAAGTAGCTTGGCAATGCGAGTGTCTATGGGCTCCTCAGACTTACGCTCAGTGACTGGCCTAACATAGGCAACGAAAACCTGTTCTTCCAACTGCTCCTTCATTACTAATCTTGCGAATGTTGGAGCGCTAAGACAACAATGTGCTAAGGGGTTGTCTACCCCTGACACATGAAACAGGCGAGCAGTCTTAACTCCACCTAACGGGCTAGGGAGCCTACACTCGTGCTCTCTTAAGTGGAGTGTGACCCTAGCTGCTTGTCCCCAGTCCATTCCTAGGACTATATCAAACGGGAGGAGAGTCAGGGGATGGAGAACTCTTTCTACCTTCCCATCTTTCTCTAGGTGGAAATAAGCCTAGACTCCCTCGACATAATCCTCGCCTCGCATCTTGCGATTGTCTGCGAGGATGCTGATTATAGGTTCCTCTAGCTTTCGGACCTTTAAGTTGAGCTTCAGCTTGTGTAGCGCTTTGCGACTAATATAGTTACGGGTCGCCCCACTGTCTATAAGGGCCCCTTCTCTGCTTCTGAAAATCTCTACATCTACCAATACTAGTTGTCCTTTCCCATCCTTCTTCATCTTGGCCCAGGCAGGACATTCTCTCCTTCAATTCTTCTGCCACGCCTGTGAGGGAAGTGCCTAGAGAGACCCTAATGTAAGCAGTCTCTGGACAACTTTCTACGCACTGGCTAGCAACCTCTGCCATAGACACATGTGGGTTGGGAGTTTCTCTATGGTGAGCGCACTTTTCTCCACATGGTTTAGGGGTAAGGGCAGTTGCGACCCCTACCGGTGGTTGCCTTTTGCTGCCTGTGCAGCAAATCGGGCCTCCCTATATTTTGGGCAGTATTTGATAATGTGACCTGGATCACCGCAGTAAATGCACTGATCCTGGTATATCCTCTTCTGCCAGACTTTCTGATCAAGACCCAAATCTTCCCAAGGCCTGCCTTGTGGCAAGCCAGGTTGCCATCCACCCCTCCTAGAAGGTGACCGATTGGAACACGGATGGTTTTGTGGGGGACCTTGACCCCTACCTCCCTCTTGTCGGTTTCCCCTGCCGCCAACCCCCTGATCGTCATGTCCTCGACCTCTTGAGACCCCGCCCCCTTGGCCCCGGCCTCCTCCTCTTCCTTGCGGCCTACCTCCAACCGCGACAACAACATAGGACCTCCCCTGACCTACACTCCTGTCTTCCTACTCGGGGCCCCACTCTATCTCGCTATACGAAACCTCCTCCATTCCTTCTTCATCCAATGTCAGGATCAGGCTATCCTTCCCCTTAACCTGCCCTGAAATGGTCCGGCCCTTCCACTTTTTACCCTTGTCAAAATCTTTGTGCCAAAAGGCAGTGACCATCGTGGATTGGGCCTCGTAAGCTACGACATCGCGACTCAACCTATCATTACGTCATCCCTTGTTCTCGCGACTTGTCATAGAAGTGCCCGTGCAAACTTTCGGGCATCGCACGATAGAATAACTGAACCAACTGTGGCTCAGTAACCCCATGGTTTGGGACCGTGACAGCTCCCTTAAGTGTCCTTGCACTCTTCCACTAAGGTGTGTGGATTGTCTGGAGCTTGTCTGAGGCCTTGATTCCCTCAGTTACATCCGCGAAACGTTCGCGAAGTAACTTTAGGAATTCATTGAGGGGAGTGATGGTGGAATATGCCACCATATCATTGTCACATTTGGAGGCGCAGGCTAACGGCCTGGCGAAGCTAGACGCTTCGTCTCTAAGGGCATGGAACGTGACGAGGATCTGCTCCTCAGGGATAATATCCTGGAGGTGCACGTAGGAATTGATGTTAGCCTCCCAATTGTCGAAGTCTTTCCCCTGTTTCCCGTTGTAGGCGTAAGGAGACTTTACTTTTACTCGTTCCCTACGCGGGCGTGCCTCCTCCTCCTTTGGGACTGCAATCTTTGCGCCCTCTATAGTGCCAACACATAATTGTTCTGTGTCTTCACACGGGCCTGCATCTCTGAGCCCATCCGCATCATCATATCGTGGGCGAAGTCTCTAAAGCCTACTCGGATGGACTGTCATCGCCCCTTGAAGTATGCATCTGCTCCTGTTGCACGCGAATCAATACATCTATGCTTTTTGCGATCGCATCCACCTTGCTTTGCAAGTCCCCTTGTGTCAGCGCATTAGTATGTTGTTCTGCTGCGGCAACCAATTCCTTCTCTAAGTCGGTGGCCGGTGATATGCGCCTCCTTCTCTGCCTCCTCAGTCGCAATTTCCACTCCAGTATCTTCTCCTCTTCCACGGCCTGCTGCTCTAACGGGTCAGTCAGGACCTTTATCTCTGCCATAACAACATCCCTCTTGTCCTGGGGAATGTACATCAACGCTTCTTCATCTTCCCCCAAGGATAAGTTAGCCACCCACTCCGACACCATATTTTCTAGTTTCTTCTCATCTTCACTGACCCCACTTGATTCCCCTCTTTCCTTTCTCCTCACCGTCCTCACTAGGGGTATCTCCTCTTCTTCCTCTTCTTCTTCTACTTCTTTGAGCTTCTCCTCCTCTTCTTTCTTCAACTTCTCCATCTCCTCTTCAAGCTTCTTCTTCTTCGCCGCATGCGCTTCCAACAGGGCCTGTTTCTTGGCCTCCTTCTTTTCCTTTCTTTCTTTCAATATGGCGGCGGGACTCTTTTCCTGCTCTTCCGTATATGGGGTGGTGCTCGTACTGATGCGCGTGTCAACCATGGTGATAGGTGTACAACCGGATGACAGTTCCACTCCTCACCATTTAGACTCTCACCCCCTGACTTACTAAGGACCACATAATCCCTGTCAACTACGGTCTCTAGCCTGACACTACTTCTCGGCTGTCACTACAGGACTTACTGTTGATTAGGAGGCATTTAAGGAGATCCCCCGTAACTCCTCAAGAATTATTTAACGTCGCAAACAGGACGACGCGATCAGCAAGTCCTCTCAAGACGTAGACAGCTGGTTGTGCAGCCCACAACTCGGATTTTGAGCCTACCGTGCCAAACTGAGCAGCCCGCCGGTCTGTACCGGTCCTTGGGAGGGTTTGTCCTCCGGGTCAATCAGTCGTGAGACACGGCCTTTAGCCCTACTCAGCCCGTGTGGGTTTGGTCAACTCAGCTCTATGACCTCATACACAAAGTTCCTATCACCTGGAGAGAAGAGACTCAATGCAGAAAGAAGAGACAAACAACTCAGCCAGCAAGTACCATGGGGCGTGTGCACATCCATAGGGCGAGGGGGTAGGCTGAAGGCTTGGCGAGAGTATCCCAACTCCAGCTTGGTCAAACTTTGTGGTCAACACCTTCGGTCAACGCCCTGGTCACCACCTTGGTCAATACTAGTCAACGCCCCGATCAACTCCTTGGTCAACGCTGGTCAACACTTTGATCAACCCTCGGTCAACGCCAGCATGCAGCCCGATCAATGCTGAAAAACACTTGGTCAACTTCGGTAAACGCATGGTCAACACTGGTAAACACCTCGATCAACGTTGGCTATGGCTGCCAACCCTCCTTCCTACTTCCCTTCGCTTTCCTTCTTCTTCCTCCCTCGGCTATGGCTTCTTTCTCATCCCTCGTCTCTATCTTCTTCGCCCCCGGGTATGGTTTCTCTTTCTCCCTTCTTTGTCTCTCCTTCCTCCTCCTCCTCAGCTATGATTCTCTCCCTTTCTCCGTCCCTTCTCTCTCCTCTTCGACTTTATCTTCTCTCTTTGTGTCTTCTTTTTCGATGTCCGAGCTCGACGGTTATGGCCGCCTCGTCCTTCTGTAGGTCACACAACCAATCTTGTATCGCTCATCTCTCTCTCTCTCTCTCTCTCTCTCTCTCTCTCTCTCTCTCTCTCTCTCTCTCTCTCTCT